CTGAGGAGACTTAGAGTTAATCATGATCTTTGAGCGGGATAAGTCACAGATGTTACTAAAGGTCGGAAAGTGTTGTCCGTGGTTGCTTAAAAACATACTTTAGCTTTGCTCTAATAGTGTCTTAGTCTACTATTTGGCCCTTTCTCTGTAGGTGTCGTTTGTACACAAGCTAATCGTTTGATTCCTTACTGTTTTATTTTACTTGGTTTAAAAACTATGCTTATTTTTCTTACTTGATCATAATCTATTTTGTAAATTCGTTTTTACTGACCATCTTATCATGTTTACTAAATAAAATTTATAAATGGATGGAAAAATGTATGGTATTTACAAATATAAAAAAATTTCCCATCCCCTAGGCTTACGACAATAGATTTGAAGTTCTGTGTTTTGTTCCAATGCATTTCACTTTTCCAGACTTAAGCGAACTTAGCTTGTCACTTCACAATTATTCGAAATACGATTTTTCTTTATATAACGGAGCAATGGAATTAAAATTTGACTTGAAAGGTTCCTGGACACCATTATTTCACACGAGAAGGGCGATGATTACATAATTTCCCTATGTTTAAGGGTCAATATGTATGAACTGTGGCAAATGATTTATATATTTATGTCCAGGAGCGAATTATATTACGAACGAAGAATCCTGCAAACAAGAATAGCTATGAATACACTTTAAAAAATATAATAAATTCCTTACCAGTTTTTCCAACTCCTTTATCGCCGAGAATAACAATCCTCATCTTTCGGTTTATCGCCATTTTCATTGCTCGAAACTTCTTTCCTAGTATTGCTGATTACGTTTAGACACGACTGCCCTGTTATGCGATCCGCACTGCTCTCTTTATCGCTCCGACTGACTTGGACAATTGTGCACGGCTCTTTGTATAGGCGATACTAAGTTATTTATGGTTACCTAGCCACAACGTTATGTGTCAGACTGGGGGTCATATGGTTGAGATTGCAGAGTTGATAAGTCATCAAGACAAAAGCAGATACAGCCTCGGTTTTAGTTTCGAAGCCCTCGTTTTACACAATCACTTTTGATACAATAATATCAAGACTGCAAGTCCACAACCGGAAAAATGCATTTATATTCGGCACATATCTCTATGGTTCTGCATAAACTTGCTATGATAATAGATAAATCGTTTACGGGTGACAGAAAGCGAAGGGAAGGCTATCTTTTAGTAAAAAGGGACAATAAACATGAAATCAAAGGGTTCCGTCAGTCACCTTTTAAAATCACCTATCAGCAAGGGAAATGGTGTGCCAGGTGTTGCTGATTGTCACTTTCGTTAGGGACAAAACCTGTAATCTCACAAAATCAATGTTTGCTAGGTTCTTACTCATCATTTTAGCATTTGAAGACTTCAGCAAATCTAAGCGAGGGCTGTATCGAAATATGTTTAGAATGGCATTTGCAGAGGAGTTGGTTTGTTCGAACTGTTGTGTTGGCTTCTTGTTTACAAATTTGTGTTGATTATAATTTCCTTGTGATGGGTCAGGCCTTCGTACTTGCTTTGTTCGCAACCATCTCCTAACTCTGTTGTGGTTCATGGTCCAACCAAACGTTAAGTTTTAAGTAAATTAAAAAAAGTCATATTGAAAGAGCTTGCTGGTGGCAAAGGTTGTCTGGGAATCATTTAGATTTTGTAACCATGTATATCTATATACAAAGTAGGTAATTTAAACTTTGCTCTAAGTACTATGTTAATAAAGGGGTAGTAAGGTTGGTTTGTGAAAGTTTTACCCAAAAATGCTTTTCGGTGAAAATAAACTCATTAGATACTCTTCTGTAACTTTCCAATTACGCTGATTGATTTCACGATTCTTGCTGTTTTTTTATATTTTTCAGTACGTGAGACAAAAAATACCTCAGCAGTTCTTAAATCCTAACATGTATTTCAAGAAGTGGTCTAACCTAATAGGTATCTGTTACCCATAAACCCCAAAACATTCCCTGACTATCCCAATCATAAATAAACCCGAGTACCCCCTACCCCCGAGGTCATAAACTACCCCACCATTGCAGTCGGAAACATATGCAAGTAAAGCAAGGCAGGTGTCTATTCAACAAGAGTTAATAGCTAATTTATCAGTACCATAAAACTGCAATTGATTGTTGCAAAAAATAACAACAATTAACCTAAACAGGCGCATAAGATCAAGAAAGGTTACTTGATTATGATAATACCCTTGAGAATTCGAATCGAAATTCAAGATTCCTATTGTTTTCAGGTTCAGCCCCTTTTGTGTCGAGTTTCCGTTGATCATTTGCCGAACGACGCCCTTCAAAAACTGGCGGCTCCTTAAAAAGTTACCCCATTTTAGAATTTTCATGACAACTTCAACACATGGTGATCATACCTTTGTTTGGCTTTATACCTGCTTAAGAATGATTTTGTTTTCTTTTTGAATTGTATTCATGATCCATTTCTTTCTCTTCTAAAGCTCATTTCCCAGCTTTTCAGAAAATCTGTTGGGAATTTTTCCAGATATATTTCTCCAAGGCAATATCTGATTTGAATCAAAAGCATAGTTTTAAGTCATGAACCTGGCAAAACATCATACAAAATATTACCTATATAGAGATAGGCATTTACAGCAAAAA